AGGCAAATGGTTCTTTGCTAGCTTCGATGAATCCTTTGGTAAGATTGTCCTCAACGTATTTCTTCACAAGATCAAGCTCTTCTCGAGACATGTTATAGAGTGGTGCATGCCCTAGTTTTGAGTTCCCTTCTAACACATAGCGCAAAACTGCAGACAGTCAAAGAAAGGGAATGGAGGACGAAAGTATGGCAAACAGCTTAACGCTACAAGGTCAAGGCGGGTGCAAGGCCCCGCAAGGACAGCTATGTGCCACATTGAAGGGAAAAGATGGAAGGACAGTTCGAAATGAGGCTGACCTTCGAGTCTGCAGAAGTATCCGAAGTATAATGTGAAGACTTCGATACTCAAAGCAGTAGGACAAGGTATAGTAGTTCAGGCTCCAAAGCATATACTTTATACCACAGGGGTCAAGTGGTGAGACTAACAGGTTGGCCAAGTGGTTTGACTCGAAGTAAGGCAATGCAAAGTAAGTCAAAGCAGGAGGAATTGCAAGAAGGCCAAGTAGTGTATAATTTGCTAGCTAAAGATCAATAAGAGACATGAGCAATAAGTGCTTATTGTAATGGTGGGTGCACCAGATGTGAGAATCTAGCCACCCAAGGAAGGGATGATTTTACTAAGACAACACACTGTCTTAGGAAACAGAGCCAAAGGGTTGTAGCTTAGACTATTCCACAACACGGCAATCAGGTGTATAATGTAGTGAAGTGGTTTAGACAAGTTGTAACAAATATTGAGTCTGAGAACTCAGGGGTAAGTCAGAGGTTACTCACTGACTTTTCAGAAACAAAGAATAACAAGATCAATGCTTGGAAGCTTGGAAAAGACATAGAAGTATGTGCTAGTCGATTTTCTTTATTGTCTGCTTGCCCTTTCTTAAGGAAAGGGCAATCCTATTTATGCTAAAGGAGTGTAGTTCTCTCATTTTCCAAGACTTTCCATGACTAACCAAGCTTGGTAACTGTAGTCAACGTAAGAGAATTCCATAGAACCATCTCTTAGGTTCCTAGCCTATGAAGTAAAAGGAGGTCCAGGGTCAGAGTACCTCTATAGACAAATTATGTCATAACTTAACCAATCTTGTGGTTAACTAAGGAGTGATGACGTGTAATGAATCATAGAGGGTTGTAGAAGCTTTTGGAGCTATCGTTCATGTTCCTAGGCCTCTAGTTGGTAGAGATATATCATGTGGTAGTATTAGCCCAGTAACTAAGGAGTGATGATGTGTAATGAATCATAGAGGGTTGTAGAGATATGCTATGTGGTAATATCGGCCCAGTAACTAAGGAGCGATGACATGTAATGAATCATAGAGGGTTGTAGCAATCGTTGAGTAGTATTGTTCTTGTTGTTGGTATGATAAGCCAAAATATGTATAGTGACTTGTAGGTTTGAGGAGGAAATTTCTAAGTTTGCTCTTGAGTTTGATAGCAAACTGAGTGCAATGAATGTCAGTATAACACGAGGCAGACCAACTAACACAAGTTGGAGTAAGGAATATACAACAGGTAGAATGGATAGAAATGTACTACAAAGCAAGGCTACGAGCGATATCACAATACAACATTCAAAGCGCATGGTTAGGAGTAGGCATTTATCCATTTAATCCACGGATATCCCTTTGGTACGAAGCTCCTATCTAAGGAAAATTGAGTCGGACAAGTCACAGTCACGTGGTGAGAGTGAAGGCAGGTTAGCCGAGTCGGACCCGTTTCGGGTACTTAAGGAGATTGACCCAACGGGGGTTCCTCTCTTCATCTTTTTTGTATCCTTTGTAGTAGACCTATAGGATAGCATCCGTTTAGCCTCTGACTCGCACTCTCATATGGTATTACTGTGAGCTGGGTGCCCTGTGTCCTTACATTGCTAAATAGGCTATGTAACGCTGCTTCCTATCTAATAGGATGAACAGAGGCTTCTTACATAAGGTTTAACTTAACAGAGAAGGCAGGTGTTAGGGGATACTTATAAGTTACTTAAATAACTATTTGAGTATGAGCCATACTCATGAGTATACTCGAGTTTCTAACCCTGCTTTCATCCATCATTAATATCACTGGCAAACAGGTCAAATAACTTATATCACAAAAATATTTGTTATATTTGTCCAAAGATTATAACTTCCCTCCAGAAACTCTACCGCACAAACAGTACTAGAACACTTATATCCACTTATTCTCCTATCTGCATGAGAACGAACGCCTATCACATATCACAACCACAAGCCACTCAAATCCCCTAATTATGTCCTCCTTGGACATGAACCCCACATGTAAACCTGCCTCACCACAAAGGGCAATCCCAACTTCCTCCTCACCCCAACTCAGAAATCCAAAAATTTCACCTAATTAACCTCCTTCACACAACACACTTTCCCTTCCACCCCCACCGTCGCCTCCGCCTTCGTCCCCTCTGCCGCAACCAACACACTCTTATTAGTCGCCTGCGTACTCGGTGGGACATCAATCGCCGGGTTCCTACTGAAGAAATTCACCGGCTTCAGCGCAACCCTCATCGTCTCGCACGGCATGACTGGGAAGTCCTCTACGCGCGGCACGTGGTTGATACCAAACTGCACCCAGACCACAATATCCTTATCCTCGACGCTATCCCCGCGCTCTGCCCAGCTGCGCACGCCTGTTCCGCCGCGGGACTGGTTGGTGTAGCGACCTCCTGCGTATAGCTCGTCGTCGCGGTGCGCAGTGACGTAGACGTTGTGGTCTGCGAACTCGGCGCGGCGGTGGTGGAAGGAGGTCGGGGAGGCGAGCATCTTCTGGAAGTTAGGGGCGTGGATCTTGTAAGAGACTGCGGCGCCGTTGACGGGGTTGTGGACAGCGGCGTTGGCAATGCGGAAGATGCGGTTGGTGTTGCTGTCGAGGTCGAGGCCGGCGGAGGTCAGCACGAGGGTCTCGGCGACGGTGTAGCCTACGCCGTGGGGGTTGGAGTCGGAGACTGGCATGGGGTGCGCTTCATCGTAGACGAGGCGGTTGAGAGGGCCGTCGAGCATGGGGTCGATGCGTAGGGACATGATATGCTGGTGGTGCGCGGCGAGGACGCCGGGGTGGACGACGGTTCCGTAAGGGACGGTGAGGCCCTCGTCTATGGGCGATGTGGAGAGGATGCCAGTGGCGCGGACTTCGTAGGCGACCTCGCCGGCTTGGTTGAACACGAAAGCGAGGATATACTCGTAGTTCGCGACGGTGATGATGGATTGGATGACGAGCTCGCGGTTGCGCACGATGGCGGCGCGGCCGGTGCGGTAGTTGGTGTGCTTCCACCCGATGCCGTTGTCCTGCTCGTGGATGCAGACGACGTTGTCCATTGGGAGGGGCTCGCCGGCGGAGTTGTTCAGGATCGCGCTGACGTAGTGGATGGAGCCGAGGCAGTCGCATCCGAGCTTGAGGTTGTTGGCCATGATGCCGGCGCCGGCGTCACCGAGATCGAAGGCGGCTTTCTTGTGGTAGGGGTGGCGGGGGTCAGCGTAGGGGATGTTCATGTCGGAGAGAGACAGCCTGTAGAAGAGGGGACGGCCGTCGTAGTGGACGTCATAGAGGACCATCCCTTCTCTCAGGTTGAAGCCGATCTTGAAGTTCCACTTCTGCCAGCCAACGGTACGGCCGAGATCAGAGAAGTTGCTGACGGTGAATGAGGCGCCCTCTGGTTGAACAACATTAAGTGGCTTGAGGTCGGTGCGGAGAGTCTGGGCCTCTGGGATATACTCATTGGCTGGGTGCATCTTGTATGGGCCAAGCTCCTTGATGGTAGCATCTGCTCCAGTGGGAAGGACGTCAATTCTGATAACCTTCATTGTTTCGGCACAGATCACAGGTGAGATGGGGAGAGGCATGGCGTAGTGGTTAGCGTCTGGCTCGTTGGCGTGCTTTGGATCTTTCATATAGATGAAGCATTGGAACATGCGCTTACCATCGTGGACACCATCAGAGCCTAGATATGTTAGTGGGTACACTCTATATCAAGACGGTTGATGAAATACCATAGATCCATGGGTCGACAATAACAACGGAGCACTCGGGAAGCTGCAACTTGGCAATGGCAGCCTTCATCCCCTTATCCTCCAACGCGACCTTCTCGACCATGAGAATCTCGTCACCATCAGCGTTGCTGTGGACGTTAGCTCCAAGGCGGACATTGCTCTCAATCTTGCCCTCGGACAAGTTTATAACAGCCTCGTGGAGTTTATCCTACTCGGAATTAGCACCACCCATCTCATCCATCTCGGTTTCTTCGGGATACTTACAGTGTTACGGATGTAGTAAAGCACGAAAGCCCTCCGGTCAATCTTAACCAGCGTAGAACCGCTGCGCTCAGCTTGGAGATATGGAAGTAGCTCTGCCTTGAGCGGTTCTAGTAGCGTGACCGCCTTGAAGTTGAAATCCGTGTTCGCTGGCCAGGACGCCTTCAATAAGCTCGCGGCGCGAGTGATCTCGCTCGCCGTTAGAGGCCCAATTGGATGCACAACCTCCTCTTTTGCGCCTCCTACGAACGACAGGATGGTGGGGATTTTCTCCATGACGACAAGCGGTACTGCCGATAGCGAGAATGTGGACAGCTGACAAAACGGAGGGGCGACGCGAAAATGACGACTCCAGAGAGAGAAATTATGTTTGGGAAAGGGAGGGGGAAAAACTGGAAGTGGTTCTATATATCCGCCCAGGCAAAATGAAGGTCTAATTCTTATATAACTAACTATTTGGGTTACTTTCTTATCGGAGGAGTCGTATATTACTCGATTTCCCCCGCTTGACCCGCGTTGGTGGGTTGATTCGTTCGTCGGATGCGCATTCCTGATCGGGATAGTTTGTGGTACCCACCATGATAATGGGATGGGATGGGACGAAAACACGATTCCGAAGCAAGGAGCACGTACCGACATGTTGTCACTATGGAAAATGCTCCACATGTGCAACGGAATTGTGTATGAATATTTTTACCCCTCACATAACATACATATCATCTGAACAGCAAAAAATATATTATTATACTGATCTATGCCTGCCTCTTCTCCAACAGTAGTATACCGCTCGGCTTCTGTGACTTTCCCACTACGCCCTCTTCCCTCCCATAGATCTTCGTCCCCCGCAAATATGTCTCCCTAACTACTCCCTTGAGCCTCTTTCCTTGATACGGGGTGACCTTGTTGCGGAACAGCATATCCGTCTTCTCTACGACGAAGCTTCCCTCATCATCGAATACGCAGATATCCGCATCAAGCCCCTCCTTCAGCGCGCCCTTGAGATGCTCAAGACCGACCTGCTTGGTGGTGTTAACACAGCACAGGCGCACGACATCAATGATGCTCAAAGCCGGCTTCTGCTGCGCAGTCTGGTTATGCGCTGAGGTCCAGAGAATAGGTAGACCGAGACCAACACTGGAGATTCCACCCCAGCTAGCGAAGAAATCGCCCTTCGCCTTGCCATCATCAGCGGTCCCTGGTTCCGCGACGCTCAGGTGGTCGGGGAGGAGCTTCAGCTCGGGGGTGCAGGGTGAGTGGTCCGAAACGATGGTTTGGATGACGGAGTTCAGCTCGTTCAGTTCAGCCCAGAGACCGTCGCGGTTAGAGGCTTCGCGGATGGGTGGGCAGCACTTGTGGCGGGTGTCGCCTGTGGCGACGTCCTCTGATGCGAGGGAGAGGTAGTGGAAGCAGGTCTCGGCTGTAATCTTGATGCCTTTCTGACGCGCTTCGCGTAGGAGAGGGATTGCCTGGATAGCGCTGAGATGCACAATGTGCAGTGGTAGAGAGGGTGCGAGGTGAGCCAGCGATATAACCTCCTCAATAGCGTAAGTCTCAAAAGCCGGTGGGCGGGAGGCTAGGAAAGAGGAGTAGGCATCAAGTGGACCGTGGGGGTATGCTGGTAGGAGCGAAGCTTGGACGTCATCACCGATGGAGTCAGTGATGGGCGGGATCATCTCGGCGTGGAATAGCACGGTTGTGGGCTGGGTTGCCAATGTCTCCAAGACCAACGCCACATCCTTTGAAGATACGGCTGGGAACTCGTCGACCTATTCATCTTATCAGCAAGTCATTTCTCTACTTCAGTAGGCGTACTCACACCACTCTCGATCAAGAATCCTTTGAACCCTCTGACTCCAGCTTCAACCAGCGGCACAAGCTCGTCGGCATTGCCAGGGATAATGCCTCCATAGAATCCAATATCCACCCAACACTGGCCTTCCGCTGCCTTAATCTTCTCCTTAAGCCCTGCCACAGTTGTAGTTGGTGGAATGGCATTGAGAGGCATATCAATCACCGTAGTGACACCCCCACTAGCCGCTGCCCGAGTCCCTGTCCAGAAGCCCTCCCATTCCGTCCGACCCGGCTCGTTCAAGTGCACGTGAGCATCCACGAGGCCTGGCAGGATAATGTTTGGAGAGTGGTCAATGTACACTGTGTCTGCAGAGAATTCCGACTGCGGAACAACTTCGGGGCGCACAGAGAGGATCTTCCCCGTTGCTGGAGATATCGTTATCGTTGCAGGTGACACAACAAGGTTGCCCTGCGCATCAGGGATGACGGCCCTGGTGGAGACGAGGACGGTTTGTGTGACCTCCTGTATACTGGAGCGCGTAGTGGGCACCATCTCTAGACTTCACCGGGAAGTGAGCCGATGACTTGTGCTTTCGTTGCTACTTTTAACGTATGAAACGTGGGAAGAGTAGAGGGGTTGAGATATAAGAAAGATGGAAAACACAGGTCGAGAGTTGGGGATAATGGAGACTGAAAAGAGCTCTACAACTACCGCAATTTTCAAACCCGACTAGAAGATATGCTGTCTTTTATAAGGAATGCTTGGTTCTCGCCCGGAGGGGTGGTGGAGTGGGCTTGTTACAAGCTATAAGGTGCCTAGGGAGAAGCTTATCTGGGGTCTAGGGCACTGCCGCCACTCAGAAATTTTGGTCGAGTAAGCCTCGAGTAAGGCTATCGAGTAAACATAGCCGCCGCAGGATGATCTGCACTCTCCCATTCATCTAAATCTCTAATTTTCAAAAGGTTTTTGCTGCTGGGTAGGCCAATATGTAGATGAGAATTTGCTAGGGTGTTTAACGGCACCAAGAATCTAAAATTTGAGAGTCATTGCTCTCTTGATATTATCACCTTTCACTTATGATTCCTTCTTCAGATTCCCCAAGTGCGCAATCGACTTTCCGTTATCGTCAGGACCTTTCCCCACCTTTGGACTCTGGAATGATTATGTAAGGGCGGAGGTCGCCTAATTTCCTGTTTTCACACAAGCTCACGGCTAAACCGTGGAGAAAACGAAAGACCAGGAAAAGATGCTAGAACCCCACATGTTGCGCCAGGTCCAATGAGGCCCAGAGGCGACGATGCGGCCAGCAGTCACATATTATCAAAGCCACGAAGGATTCTTAACATGGCCTCTCCTCGTCAGTCAATACCACAACACTAAGACGTTGGAGGAACACATCCTTACCTCGCCGGCAGCATCAACGGGGATAGTTGGTTGCAATGGGGGTACGAATTTAGTAGTAACATAGTTAGCATAGGCTGGAGCTACTGGTGATACGGAGTTAAGGTGATTTGTCGACATGCCTTATGAGATAATTAGATATATATTTTGACATAAGAGGGTCGTTACCCATCAGCTTAATCCTGCTCTGTTATTCACCATATAAATAGCAATCTTGTTCTCACCAACTCTGAACTCCTTAATTACTCCTACCCCTATCCCCTTGCGCCCACCCCATCTTCCTCACTCCTCCTCCATATAAGCCATACCCCCTGAGTTCCTCACCACCCACTGCCGCGGTTCCATCATCCTATAATGTCCAAACTCCTCCTCAAGGTTCCCCTCACTCCAACTCTCCTGCTTCTCCGTCCCGACATACCGCCCCGACTCATCATGCGCAAAGTAACGGAGGTAGTCGCGCCGCGGCATCATCGCGACCACGATCTTCGTCTTCTTGAAACGGAACCGGTCGCGTAGGGAGCGGCGGCGTTTCTGGGATGTGCTGCTTCTATTAGCTCTGGTCTATTTCTCTACGCCGATCACCTGGGATGGGACGGAGGAACGGTGCGCTTACGATTCCACCCCGGCCTTGAAGCTCCCCTCGCACACCCGCACCACGACTGGGATTATGCTATCGTCTGTGAATCTGAAAGGGAGGAAATGCGGCGCCGTAGGGCCGAACATACAGGCGGACGACCAGGCGGACTGATAATCCGTGGGCATGGGGCGACCAGTAGCTGTGAAGCGCTCAAAGCAGTCTGTGTCGGATAGTGTTGAGTTGGATGAGCCAGAGCTGGAGGTGCTGTGCTTGCGCTCAAGGATGGTGTGTGATCGCACCATGTTTATGCTGAAGGGCGATTGTCAATCGATGGAGGCGATGGTAGTAGCACTCACCAGTAAAACCGTGGGATAGCACGGTTTGACTGGTGAGTTGGTGGATACGAATATATATATACATCCCCTACTGAGTACAGTACATTGTCACCTTGCGACTGATCTCCGTCACCACCCACACCAACGGTCGTATCTGTAACAAGGCTAGTGACGGCGTCACTATTGGCTCATTACAGCATCGGGCCTATTCGACAACCTTCCACCCAGTCGGCTTCAACGCGAGTGGCGGCCAGTGAACCACGCCTATCCCATGTTGTCCATCAGCCCGTCCCACCATCCACATCCAAGATCAAAGTTGCAAGGTGGTACCAGGTGAGGAGTGGATGTTTGGCATCACGGCAGGTCTAAATTCCCGCCGTCCGTCCAGGCTAGCGATCGCCTGATCGCTCCCGCACCCGCCTATTAGACCCGTGATTCGCCGTCATAGCTCGAATTTTTCGATTCTGGATTTCTCTACCCAGACAGACGACAGAAGGGCGCCATTGGTAGGAGAAGCTCGCCGTCGGCGGCAATCCGAGAGGCTTGCTTACCGCCACCACTGTTGTATTAGCTCGTCGGGCGTAATGCGACGAAAAGGAGGAGGTCGGCGCTCAAAAAGCCGTCAGACGTCGGCTAGCTACCTCGTTGGGGTTTAGTCATTATTGTGGTGGGTGTTTTAGGTGGAGTCTTCAGGTCAGTCGACAGGGCTGCGGTGTTATGGACGTCGCGGCGTGGCTTTTGATTAAGTTACATATAACTCCGAGCTAAGGGGAGAGTCAGCAATGTGTAAAATTCTACAGGTAGGTTTGGTGTCTATGGAATAGATAAAAACCTTCCGCTGTAGCGATGATTTTACCATTACTTACAGATAAAGATGCCTTCTTCACATTAACTTCGCTTGGCGTATTGAGATATCACCATGTAGCTGGCGCTGTCGATAGCACAGCAGGTGAGACAAAGCCTGCATTGGAGACCTGAAATATCCCAGAGGCCAATACGCAGAGATATCCGGTATTACTGTACTACTGTCTCTTCATTCTCGTCATGCCCGGCGGCAGAAATGTATCACCTATCCCGACTTCTCACATACGCCACTGACCGCCTCCCCAGGCTTTAATCCCTATTTGGAGAGGTACCCACATCACTAACTAGGCCGTTGTGACCACTATGCTTATGTCTCAGTTTCACTATCTCCGGTCTCGTAGCCCATCATATTCACCAGTCTCTCGGTCAGCTCGGCATCGCTGTCATGGGACCACTATTCAAACTCGCAGTACTCCGTACATCTGATGATGTGCACGCATCCACCTTTCCCTGCCATCCCCATCATGTACGTCATTGCGGGTTTCGGAACGGTCTAGGAGGCGGGGCCTATAACGCGTGAATCGGGATCTGTAAAACGCAAACAAAGTTTCCTGGGTAACTTTGGCCCTCACGAGCGACACAGACACTGAACGTGATTCTGGTACTGTCGTGCTTGTTCTGGGTTTGATCGAAACTTGAAGCCTGCCAAACAAAAAAGAGCGAACATCAAGCGTTAACTTTACTGCCCTTCTTTTTCTTCATGCCCTTGCTCACCTTGTACCAAAGAACCGGGTTTTCTTGAAGGTTTGATAAGGTGATTTTCTTGACGTCTGATGCAATTTCCCCGTCTCAGCAGGCCTTGCATTATTATGTTGTGGATTTGTTCTGGCCATGTTGATTATTCTAGAAGACGATCTAGGCGGCCAATAGCCAGCGCTCCTAATAGTCCAAACAGTCAGTCTGGAAACCTCATGTAACGCTGACTTCTAAACGATAGAAGACACAGAGGTTTCTTGCGTAAGGTTGACTTGACAGAGGAGGCAGGGGATTAAACACAAAGGCTTTCCAAGTAACACGTTACAGTATTGTAAAGAATACTATATTGAGTTGAGCACAAAGCTCCTATCTAAGGAAATACTATCTACTTATATAGTGGCGTCGTGCCAAAGGGATATCCGTGGATATTATGGATAACATAATATCCATGATATCCAATGTTATCCATCACGTGAGGTTGCAGCCATAAGCGCTACCATAGCACTAGCACTTAGCCGTAACACCTCAGACTGGACTGTTAGTCGGTCCGTCATGGTCAGACTGGACTAGTCGTCAGTCTGTCATGGGCAGACTGGACTGTTGGTCTGTTCGTTATCGTCAGACCAGATGGACGGTCCAGTCCGTCTTTGCCAGACTGGACTGTTGGTCCGTCCGTCATTATCAGACCAGACTGCAGTCCAGACTGCAGTCTGGACTATTAGTCTAAATCACAACATATGACTTGTAGCCTTTGCTATCTACGATTCTACCTCCAAGCTCCCCTATGTCATCTCCACTGTGTCTGATCCCCCACCACTCTCATCGCGCCCCAATGCATCAGAGTGGTTGAACCCAGCAGCCGCATCGACATAGCGACACTAGACTCTGCAATTAGCTGACGGTAGTCCTCATGAAGCAGAAAACTCACATCTGATGGGACTATCAAGGCGCTGCTGTCCCAGGAACGTAGACATTCTACGAGATTTAAAGTTTCAGCGTCCATAGCTCCTCGCTGATCGGTTACCGTAAGTTTTGATTTCGAGAAGAGTCGCTCTGTCCCAGAAGACATGGCAGCAATAGAAAGAATGTCAATGGCCATCAATGACAAGCTAGGGAATCGTTTTCGCTGGGCCACCTCCAGCCACCATTTCAGTGGGTCTGGCATCATCACAACAGGCTCACGGCAGTACACTTCGTACTCGTCATCATCTGTGTTGAAAATCGTCGCCTTCTGCTCATTCATCCACATTTTGTACCCATTTAGTCGCCTCGTAGTTGGCTCCTCTGCTAAGCCGGGTCGAAGAACCGGCAAGGAAGAAGTTGATTTGTATGATTGCCTCCACAGCTGCCCTACCCGAGATTTAGCTCTCTCGATCCATTCTGTCTTGTCTTCCCAAGTCACTCCATGTATGCCCACTTGAAAGAAGGGTTTAAGACTGTGGTTGCTAAATAGACTGGAGAGTCTTCTGTCGGCCAGTTTGGCCCAAGCAGTCTCCATCATCGTAGCCAAGTGGGGGATGGTGGTGGCCTCCCTGGCGGCCTCGATGTGGTGTAGGAGATAATCCATGGTGGGAAGAATGTCAGCGATGGAATTTTGAACACCCTCGTTGGCCATTGTCGTGTCGTGGAATGGTTCCAGAAATTTGTGAATCTCAGCCAAAGTTACCCAATCAGATGGAGTTAGGGCATCCTCTTGTAGAGCAGGCTCTTGTGCGCAAAATATGGTGATAGCTTGCCTGACTTTAGGCCTGAGAGCCCTTTCAACCATTTGGTACCATGAATTCCAACGAGTGTCATTGTCACGCCATAGCCTGAGGCCATCAGTGAGAACAGTAAATGTTTGAAGCCTCTGGGGGGTCCAAGTGATATAGACCACAATATTATGAAGCTTTCCTATCGCCCCATTCCATTCCTCAATCTCCTCTTCGGACGGCCCACCATAGGAGCCTGTCATCCGTGGCCGTTTTCCTATGAGAAATTCCATCACGGCCAGGTTTATGATGTGGCCGGTACAGCGAAGCCGGTGAGGAAGAGGGTCGTAGAAAACATCAAACTCTCGCTCTAGTTCGTCAGAGACCTTGTCAATCATGGTGTTCATGTTGCTAGCATTGTCCATCATGAAATATCCAACTTTTGTAGCGATTCCATATTCTCGTATGAACTCCATGATGGCTTCGGCCATGTTTTCTCCACTGTGTTCTCCTTCCAGCTCCTTAATCCTCACCACAAGCGATTGTAAACTGTGATCTTTGGTTATGAATTGAACTGTGAAACCAATGACCCCCAAACCATTCGGCGAAGTCCAATTGTCAGGAATAATATGAATCAAAGAAAGAGCATTTTGCAAAGCTCTCTTTACAAACTCCTTCTTGTTTTCATAGCCCCATTGTAAGTCGGTTTTAACCGTAGCACCAGACCTTGGAAGGAGATTATCGGCAGCCAGACGAAGATAGCGGATGAAGTTACGAAAGGCTGGGTGTTCGACCTGAGCAAAAGGGAGACTGCAAGCTACTGTGTAGCGGCAGTATAGTTCGCGCAGAGTGGCTTGGTCAAGCACATCCTCCTCTACTGTCACCTTGCGTCTCTTGGTAGAGGTCAGGGTATCTTTGCTCAAGAAGGAACTGATGTCTCCAAGGCGGCTTTCTGTCGCTTCCCGGTGGATGTCTTGCCTCTTACAGAGCACAATTCCATGCTGTTTACGCAGATGATCGATGATAGTGGACGATCCACCAGAGCAGTTGTACTTCTTGTCTCTTTTCTTCCTGTCGAAGCAGGGTTGGCAATACCACCATTTCCTTCCGTTGGAATCGACCCAGGCAGCTGGTATATTCCTGCCCTCTTCTAGTCGACAATGTTGCCAGATAGGGGATGTGGCGGGGGGCACTAGGATTTGAAGTTGAGGAAGCTGCCGAAGAAGAAGTGGCTAAGTTAAGGTCAGAATCGTCCAGACAGCTATTACAGCCAGAAGCACTACTCGAGAGGTCGCCAATAGAAGACATGACTTGTGATAGGTTTTGCAGTAAATGCTGGCTGCACACATGTTCAATTCCATCACTGCACCGGGCCCAAAATATATACTGATGATGAAAAATAAACACTCATACCATCGCGTGGACAGACGTATTTACCTCTAGCTCTGTAGCTAAGCCCAACAGGGCTAGCATGGTTACGATGGCGTTAGGGGCAAGGCTTCAATCGGTTTGGAGGACGTGCAGGAAAATTGGGACTATTAGTCTGACAGTCGGTCTGAGATCATTGGACCAGATGGTTGGTCAGTCTGTTTCAGTCAGACCAGACCATCCGTCCAGTCTGACAAACATAGACTGGACCAACAGTCTGTCTGAGGGACGTAGACTGGACCATCAGTCTGGACTGTAAAACGCAGACTGGACCGATAGTCTATGGACTATTAGTCTGGACTGCAGTCTGGACTAATAGTCCAGTTAATGGTCTGGACTATTAGGAGCGCTGCCAATAGCCAACATCGATTAACTGTAAGGGCCAGTTTTAAGCCTAGTGGATAGTTTGATGAGGAAAACAAGCCTGAAGAAAGATATAGTGCGAGTTAGTTTGGTTCTAAAATAGCTAATGAGAAGCTAGAAGCTACGGTGTGACAGGTACCCCTTCTGAGTCTATAATATCTGCCTGTCGCATTTTCAAAGTGCCTGAGTCAACGCTACGGCTAAGCATCAAATGGCGTGCTAAGAAGCCAGCCCCTCTATAGAGGTCAGAATAAGGTGCTCTCTACTGCATTATTAGAGGCCCTTAAGAAGTGGATTCTTAGGCAGTCTATAATGATGTACAGTTACGCTCGCGCTACATCCCACTAAGCCAAAAAGACTACAGTACTCTAGCTTCGCCTACAGAGAATACACATAACACGCTTTATATACCACATGTACTATAACGGCGGCACCCCATTACAATTACCCCCCCCTTTAGTCTATGACATCCTAGCATGGATGTAGAGGCTTCTAGCTTAGCATCTTGTACTTGCTTCTAGGCCTGTTACTACTTAGGATGCTAAGGTGTGTATATAATAGCTTAAGCCCCTAAGGATGCCCCCTTGTCAGCTAGGTAAGGAATTACACTAATTGCTCACTTAGCCCACCTAACTAGCAAGCTAATCAAAACCCATTAACTAGGGAGCCGGAATACTCTTGTAATGCTATACAGTTACGCTTGCTCTACATCCTACTAAGCCAAAAAGACAAATGTTCGAGGTGGCATAATGGTCATGGTGGCATAATGAACACCAAAACCCAAGCCTTGCAACTTCAACTCAGGAGTCAATTTAAAATATAGATGAAACAGGCTTTAGAATTGGAATTCTAGGAGGTGAGAGAGTTATGGTACCACGAATGGCAAAGGAGACTCTAAGCCCTAAGAACGTACGTCTATTTCTATCCTAGACGCTGTGTCTATAGTAGGAAAAGTCATACTACTAGTACTTATTGTTCTAGGCAAAATACATATAGATTTATAGTACCATACCAACCTCAAGGGCATAGAGCTAGTCCTACTTTCCAACTCTGGATTTTTAAGATCTTAGATGCATTTAGGAGCAGACTTTTAAGGAGTCTACTATAATATCAGCTTTCTAGAAAGCTGGTATTTGGCCTATAAGCTGTAATACAGCCCTTACAAAACTACACACTTACTTACAGCCTATGCCTACTACCCTACCAACCCAGTTTTCTATGCCTAAACCCTCAACTTTTCAGGAGGTAGAAGAGGGGCTATAGTGTTAGAAAACCAGGTTCTAGAGAGGTTTAGTGTAACGATGTACAGTTACGCTTACGCTACATCCTACTAAGCCAAAAAGACCATAGTATCCCAGCTTGGTAGAATACGCGTAACATATATATACAACACACTGTAACGGTTAGCACCCGTTACATTAAGTAGCCCCTTAAAAGAGAGCTATAAGTATTGGCTTACCGGAACTGAAGAGGTCGTGGCCTTAGGCCAACTTATAGAGCTTGACCTACGGACTACATAGCGGCAGGTTGAAGGAGTCGATCGAGGAAGCGGGCAAGCCGAAGCCGGGCCCGGCTTCGATTCAGAGGTGAGCTTCGGGCTGCTCGGGCTCACGAGATTCGGGCTGAGAAAGCTGAGCTTCCCTAGAAGCTCGCAGCTAAAAAAGCCTGGGTAGCCCGCAAAGCTATAACCTGGGCCCGGATTCAGCTTAAGAGAGCTGGAATTGAGGCCCGGAGGGAAGAGCGCGCCCGGAAGAAGATTTTGACCTAATTATACGAAGAGGGTCTCCGAATTCCTCCGGAGTTCGAGCTTCCAATTCCGGACCCAGATGCCCCCAAAACCGAGAGTGAGAGCGGGAGCGAGCGCGGGAGTGAGTGGGAGTGAGGAAGTGATAGTTTCGTAGAATGGCGCAAGGTACATGCAACATACAAATTGTGAAGCCGCGCATTTCGCTTCGGCGCATCTCGCTTCCCCCAACCTTGAGCCAAGCGAAAAGTTTGGTCACGACGATTATGTTGTTGCTTGCGACGGCGAATGAATTCTAGGTAGGCGCGGGAAGGCGGCTTATCGCCTGTCCGGAAGGCTATACCCTTCTGGAGCCGTTCTTTGCCAAGATATGTGGATGGGCAAGAGGGTCCCCTTTTAGAAAATGCGCGGGTACCGACCGAGGCTGATATTGCGGGGTACCCCGCGATCTGAGTATTTAACACACAGTTCCAATACCCGGACTGTAAGTAAGCATGCACTTTATGCTCAGCTTACTTTGCAAATAAGATTTTCCTTTTACCACCACGTTTATATAATACTTTAATACCTCCACCCCAATCAACATCGCAGCAGAGCCCATTTATCTCAAATCTACCATACATGGCAGGCCGCTCAGTGACCGGGAATGCTGGCCCGCGGCTCCCCACCGACCCAGTAGCCGTCGCCGATATATCCCATGTGGAAACCCATGGATATGTGATACTCCCCTCCATTCTACCCCTCGAAGAAGTCCAAGCTGCCAAAGCCGAGATTATACGCCTCTCTGGCTCTACGCCTCTTGCTGGCCGCAACCCGTTCGAGGGCCTAGACACGACGCGTATTTACAGCTTGCTCAACAAGACGCGGGTCTTCGACAAGCTCGTAGTGCTGCCTCGCGTTCTCGCGCTAAATGATTACTTTCTGGACCCGGGATACCAACTTACGGCATTCCATACTATTCAGATTAACCCCGGCGAGCAGCCACAGGATCTGCACCACGATGACGGGTTTTGCCACTTTCCACGGCCAAGAGGGCCATTGGGGACAGCCATTATGGTGGCGTTTGATGAGTTTACAGCCGTGAGTTTGCTGTCGCTTTATGCTTCATTGGATGGCTGCGAGCGTAGCACATTCGGTAGATGCGGATTCTGATTATATTTTAGGAGAACGGTGCCACACGCGTGATTCCTGGCTCACACCTCTGGGGAAATGAGAGACCGAGGAAAGAGCAGGCGATTCCTATGGTTTGCCCGGCTGGGAGTGTGGTGTACTTCATAGGCACCACATGGCATGGTGGAGGACCGAATACGTCCACATCATCGAGAATGAGCGCTACAGTGCAATATTGCCAGCCATATGTAAGACGGCTGTCTATTTCAATAACTTTCCACCATAGGTAGATATTGGCTGACAATAATCACAGATTCGCTCGCTTGAGAACCAGTTCTTGGCTGTTGACCCACGAAGACTGCCAGAAATTGACACACGGATCGTCGAGATGATGGGGTATAGAATTCATCAGCCGTTCGTCGGATATGGTATGTCATCTCGCTCTGTTTTCGGCATCAGACATGCCACCATCAGAAGCGGACTCTGCTAATATTGCTCCAGCGGACGGACTCAGTCCAGTTCGAGGCGCGCGGCGGATGGTAGAATGGCTGCAGAAACCTTTGGATAAGAACCCTCCTACATTCCCTGATCATGGGACTGGGAAGAGCAAATTATAATGCCTGGCCCGATATAGGAGTTGTATATATTGACCAATTGTCTTCCAATCAAACTAAAATATAATTTGATTTGCAGCCACTCTTAAGAAGCACTCCCGGAATGAGTGCTTAATAATACAGTGTTAGACAGGTGTTAAGCTACATTCAGGTTTGCAAGCCCTTATGGAGTTACTCTGGAGTTTATCTGACCTAGAAGCACCCTAAACTAAAATATGGAGGGGTGAGCTCCTGTCACCTGTCGTGTCGTACGTGCATAAATCCGCAAGAGCTTTGACAGCGATGCTAGCAAATGCTGCAACCTGGCCCCGCACATGGAATCCGATGAAGAAGCAGATTGCTACGCTTCACGATTACTTCTACTTGGATGTCTTGGAGTATAGGCTGTACAGTGAAAGTGGTCTCGGATTACTTATATCATATATTGACTGCAGCAATACGACGCTGGAAGGCATCGTCTGCGATAACACCCCAAAGCTCTTGAGACAACGATGGGCCGAGCAAGTCACAAGCACCGTGAGACATCTCCACGAAGTTGAAATCGTGTGGGGCGATGCAAAGGAGGTGAATATTCTAGTCGACATAAACAGGGACGGATGGGTTATCGACTTTGGAGGCGGATTCATACAGGGTTGTGTTCAGAGGGAGAATGTTGAAGGCGACTCCTAGGGGCTTGCGAGGATAGTGGATTATATTTTTGCCGCAAGTAAACCTTGACCGGAGAAGGATTCAAGACACCTGTTCGAGAAATATTTTCAGTATACATTTGATGCAACAATAGCTTATTGGTAAAGCGCTCATGAACTTGAGCGCTTATGAAATGGAACTCTGAGAATGGAAGCTACCATGCTTCAGCAGACATATTGTTTTTCTACTCTCATAACTATAGAATGCTGAAAGGACAATAAATGGCAGTATCAATGTTTATATGGCAGTATTTACATAGCCGGTTGAGGATATTTGTGGATGTGCAAAGCGGCCACTGGCCACGATGCGACGCTATGAACGCCACAAGATCTGGACTCATGAGCCTATTCCCTCTTTCTCAGGGCCAGCAAAATGGTATTGTCAGTTATCCACCAATGCAGCTAGTTTGCCAGTACTGCTCCAAGGTTATTTTCTTCCGCCGAAGCATGAATCGCGCACATGGACGCCACGAGGAAACAATCACGATGTGTATCTTCGTGATCAGGTCGCTATAGGAGTTGTCTTATCTGTAAATTACCATCACAGGTATCAGCGACTCACATAGATATTCGGCAGATGCAACACCCTTGTTCGCATGATGCGGTTGCGCTGAAACTATTCCAGGGCTTGGCGCACCTTCATCAGCTCGTTGGCGACTCTATCCCCATCATTGGGCGTCTATGTCTCGCCCAAAGAGTCTGGGCCCGCCAGGGTTCGGCGACAACATCGAATAAGACTGTCAACCAGGCTGAGACTGTAGCAACTGATATCACAAGGTTTGCATTGCCAATTTAAATACCGATAGATCTGGAACGGCCCGTGTTGGAAGTATAAATACATGCCAGCAATGCCTCGACCACATCATGCGCGATAACCATGAAGCATCCGAAGGCACGATTCTTCTTCCACAAACCCTAATCGTGGCTGCCGCCCGTGGGTAGAGAAGAATAGAAACAAAACTAAACGAAAGGGAGGGCTGTCAATGTTCCGGTCCAACTACCCTGATCATCCAGCATGTGGCTATGGGGCACGCGGTCCTGGCGTGGCTCATGGAAATCAGATGGATCTATCCAGATCACAGGCCCTTGTTTCCATCAGCTCCCCTGTTCCTTCTTTGATCCCATGCAGATATATGAAGGTAGCTGATCCCTTTCGTTTAGTTTTGTTTCTATTCTTATCTACCCACGCTCCTTCCGTCGCTCTACAGTACATACGCTTCTCATCTCCGTCTTCGCTCTTTGGCTCTCCTTCGACGGACGTGCCTCTGATCTTTAATGCCGAACATTTCGCCTGGAGCTGATACTTGTGCACGATGCCGTCCCCAGTCTTCTTAATATCCCTATCGCTCTTCCTGAGTACCTTCACTTCCGCTCTACCATCCTTCCCGCCTATCAAATTCAACCAGAAGGTCGTTGGCCCTTCCACGAACTCCGCAGCTACCGCCATGTCGTACCTTCTTAAGGACAAGCACGACTCCTCAAACTTCTTCAATTCCTTCTCCTTCTTTACTGACCCCGACCCAACCCATGGCTTCGTTAACTACCTCTCCCAATCCGCCGCGGCAAAAGCAAACATCATCTCCACCGGCAACTCCCAAGTGAAGCTGCATGTTGACCACACAAATGTGGCACCCTCTGGCCGCGCCTCCGTGCGTCTCACTTCCCAGAAACAATACAATCATGGCCTATTTATCGCAGATATAGCGCACATGCCCGGTGGTGCCTGCGGCACCTGGCCAGCCTTCTGGCTCTTTGGGCCCAACTGGCCTTCCTCAGGCGAAATCGACATCATCGAAGGCGTAAACTTACAGACCACGGACTCGATGACGCTGCACACCTCCGCAGGATGTGTAGTCGACAACCTGGGCTCACTCCCTGGAACTACGACACTTGAGACGAACTGCAATGCCAATTCAGGCTTTAACGGTTGCTCGGTGAGCACGAGCGACCCGCGAGGCTATGGAACGGGGTTTAATTCTGTCGGTGGCGGGGTGTATGCTATGCAGTGGGAGAGCTCTGGCGTATATGTGTGGTTTTTCCCACGAGGCTCTGTGCCTGCTGATATCAGCTCTGGGGCGCCGAGGACGCAGAACTGGGGGCTGCCGGTGGTGGCATTTAATGGTGCAAACGGCTGCAACATTGACCAGCATTTCAAGAACATGAACATAATTTTCGACACCACTTTCTGCGGAGATTGGGCTGGGAGCGTGTGGGGCCAAGGGGCTTGTGCTTCTTTGGGGAGTTGCGAGAGCTTCGTGGCGAATAACCCGCTGGCGTTTCTAGAGAGCTATTGGCTTATCAACTCGGTGAAGGTGTACCAGTTGGGCTCAATACCATGATGACTGGGGAGGTATGATATTGTGCTATTTTAAATGACATATTCGTCCTTTAAAAATGCCTTAAAAATGCAAAGGATGGTTTCTGCATTCTCCTAGTCTATGAGTTCTTGGAATAGTGCAAAGGGTTCAGGTCGCTAGAGTAGAGCACCCTGCTCTACTGTAATAAGGAGTCTCTTGTCCTGCTTTAGAGCGGTCCTATAGCTAGAGCCTGTGACGCAGGAGGTTATAGTAGCTGCTCTGCTGCTAGAAACGGACGAGCTAGGGACCCTAGCTCCCTAAAGAGAAGCCCCTGAGTTTTTCAGGGTCTTAGCCACATCCGCCTAGCTGACAGATTTCGGTCCTATAGAGGTAGCTGCTAGTGAGGGCTGGCTTCAGGCAGATGGGGCGTAGTTGGAAGTTTCTGCATATAGAGAGGTAGTGATAAAGCTGACTACCTTGTTGCAGAGGTCATGGGCGAAAGTGAGCTGCTCTAGGAGCTTGTAGGAGGAAACAAACTTGTCTACTATGCTAGCGAAATCGTACATAACTATGCGCTGTATCTTGGCTTCCCTTTTTAAAGGCATCAAGTTGGCCACTACTGGCTGCTGTTGCTTCATGACTGTTAGGCGCGCTTTCACCTAAGTTGAGGCGTGGAGGAGGCACAGTATTAGTACTGAGTGTCTTCTGCTGTCTCTAAGAAGTGCGGTTGAGGTTAGATGGTGATTGTGGTTCCTAGGGCGAGTGCTGCCTTAGGGGCCTAAATCCGGCCGTTAGGGAGTTGAGGCCTCCATCACCACCTAGGGGTGCTCGAAAGGAGCAGAAATGGATGTAGATGGGAGCTATAATGCGTAATTGACTGGAAGTAGAGCACTTAGGGTCTAGGGGAAAAAGTTGTGAGCAATTTGTCAATTTGAGAAAATAGTTGTAGGTGCTAGTCGTGGCCTAGACACCACGTTGCGCTGAGGATTACAAATTTACGATGTCAATAAAGATACCATTGATGCAAGAAGGCCCCTTTATTCGTTCGTAATAGGCGATTGCTAGATGACAGCGTACAGCGGAGCAATTAATGGCCAGTTGCCAACCATCTATTACCCCCCAGCAACTAGGAACACCTGTCGACGCAGGCTGGCATAGGGTATGCTGCGGCTCATGACACACAATATTTGGACGACGCTTTTATCCAACAATGTCGCCAAGGAGCCCATCGACAAGGAAGTTGCGCAGAATTTCGGGGCCCAAAAAGCCATCGATAGCGATACGCCAGAGCCGTGGTGACTCTCTATAAAGGTTAGCCTGAGACAAAAGCTCGTGGTAACGAAGCGCGCGGTATAACAGCCGCTGGTGCTACCATCCTTCTCTCTGGCGAGGACTGAACAGGCCTCAGACGCTCATCTTTGCCTGTGCGTGGGACGGCTATGGTGCCACATGTCCCAGGCCATCACGCCCGCATCTGCAAATCATGACAGGGTTTATTCCCGTATGGAGGAAGGCTCCTCTTCTCGGCATCTCTGCCACGTCAGTAAGATTCTAGCAAATAAGCCAGATATTGGCCGCTCTCTCTTGAAAGAGACGTACCGCATCCTTGGGAAGACTTTCGGCACAAAGGGCGAAAGGATGAACACGATCTTAAGAGAGGGAGCCGAACATCCACGTGGTCACCCGCAGATATTCCCTCATAAGGCTATTTCAACCATGAAGCATCCCCACTAATTAGCATAGATCGATCAGAATGAAGGAAGCCATTCCCGTTGGGGAGTATGTGTAATTGTTACGTGGCAGTGACCCCTTTTCGTAAACTAGTGCCTCTTGTCATGAGCTTCTCGCAATAATCACCTCATGAACTATAATCGCGATCGACAACTTCTGCACCAACCCCACAGCATTGGCTGAGACTTGTCGACTATGAGTTCAATAAACTATATTCTCCCCTGTAATTTAGCTGAAATTTAGAAAGATCCGTCGATTACCTGTGGCTAAGTCAGAATTGCTCCTGTAAAGCTCGTTTGAATTTGATACTAGCGCAATATGATACTTGCAAAGTGCCTCAATCATTGCCACCAGCTATCTAGCACGGGAGGCGCAGACATTGATGTTGTGAAGCCCTGCCATTATAGCCAATTTAGAACGTATATTTATGCAGCCAGCACCCCTCTGGGTTATGGCAGTTGCTGCGATACTTGCCGTCGACTTAGTAACTTTGCCTCCCAAAGCTGCAATCTGTAAAATGATAAATCAGGGGGTGGAGAGCTCGGCGGGGCTGGGTCTTCCTGTCGTGGGTATGAGTCAAGGGGGCGCATACAGTGTTTTCGCGGAAGGACGACGACGAGAGCATTTGTAATAAAAACGTTACGTAAATGTCTGATCGGGGCAGTGTTATTATCATACTATATATCAGGGGATGCAGTGATTCACTGAAAAGGTGGCAATTTCTATGAAGTGATCATAGAAGGTGGTCCGAGGGCGATGGGCTAAAGCAGAACGTGCCTGAACGAAGTAGAATGGCGGCCTCAAGAAATCACGTTGAAGTGGCAGGATGATGAGAATTTAAAATTTAAAGTTTGAGGTAGAGCTAGCATTATTTAGTGGTAGGATCGATCTGTTGATAGCTCCTGCTAACGAGGTACAGTGTCACCAGTGCCTGCCGTGACAGGCATAGGCAGCAATTATCATATGAGACGTCCAGCTAGATTAGTAGCTTCTGTGACAGTCATCGGAGAGAGCTCAACCAAAAGCGTATGAGAACTCGGAGGCGAAGAGTCAAGAACTTGAGGCAATAACAAAAGAGTTTTTTCAGGAAGGGCCTTCTAACAAGTGACTTAGAATATATATCGCCAAGTTGGAGAGCAAAGTCTGTTGTATCAATGCAAACCGAGCTGATGACGGATCTCACAACTTCCATCAAGGCCGCAAACCTTTTTTAAGAGCGTAAACGCCAACTTTCCACATTATTACAACAGATCTTAAACTCTACATATATGTAACCATATATACAAACTTCCCACATCTAGCTCACAGTGCCACCATTTCCACCCAAAATAATCTCTACACCTTCACCCTCCTCGCCGCATCCTCTATCCAGAGTTTTCCATAGACCCCATGCAGCCACTTAATCCACGGCGACATCGGCTGGGCCGCCGCCACCCCCTTCCCCTGGAAAAACACACTCGTCAAGCTCAACTCCACCTCCCCCCTCTCCTTCTCAACACGCGCTGCAACCTTGAACAGCCCATCCCCCCCCCTCACTCCCTGCTCCCTAGGCGACCCGCCACAGCGCACCGTCACTTGCGTCGGCGACCGGTCCACGACCTCGAAGTGGTCAGTGATGATGGTGCCTTTTGCGAAATCAGAGGAGTTAATGGCGGAGCGCGTCCAGAGATCCGTCTCAGTGGAGGGATTGCGGTATTTGCGCTCGAGATAGCGGCGCTGGAATTCGTATGCTAGGTGGAGTTAGTCACATCTATCTATTAATTCTTGCCATCGGCGCCTTTGCTTCTGCGCTGGGTCACGAGATGGAGATGATCAGGATGGTGAGCTCACCCAGACCCCCGAACACGCCGGCCGTGGCAGCCTCTACGAGCGCGCCCTCCTTTTCGAGGAGCTCGGGACGGATACTCGATAGGGGTAAGCGCCGGATGACAATATCTTGCGTCACGGGGTTGTTATTGGGGTTCTGAGCGAGGTAGGCCGAGGAGCTGTAAATAGGGTCTATGGCTGGGACGGGGACAATGATGCTTTTGCGGGTGGTAAAGAAAGCAAGGCCGGTCACACCCGTGGTGCCAAGGACGGCGGTGTAGAGAGCTTTACGAATGATAGGCATGGTGGGCGAGGGGATTGTATGAGGTAGTGCATGGTAAGTTAGAGTGCCAATATGAGGTTTGGGGTTTTATACAAAGGTACACGTGACTAAGCGTTATCGAATGCGCCGATAACTTATGTGTAGTAACTCCATCCTTCGATCGAAACATGCAATACAATTGTTTAAAAATCATTAATATTTATAGGTATATCTGTTCCCATCTCGTATGTAAACCACGACACAACACTCCCAATTCTCCTGCCAACCTCAAAAAAGGAATGTGACAAAAAATATTTCCAACCGTCGCAGCGAGCCCAAATTTGAAGATCCGAGATCCAAATTAAACAATGGGAGATGAGATATTTTTTGTTTCCACATCCATAAAGCGGCCAAAATAAGTGCGCCAGTCTCTGCTCGATGCACAAGGGTATATCGCATCGCACCTCTCTTCCTCGTCCGCCGTCTAGGCGCCTCACGCACGAACCCTCAGGCGCATCAACGCGCCCGATCCTCCCACTAACCCCTCCGCACACGCGATCCTAGCTCTCTACCACTCACCCCAGTATTTAAACACTCTATTACTGCGGCGCTTAGGGCGCCTCCTGAATATTACCTGCTGGCGCAGGGCTCCCGGTCTGGTGTGGGTGCTGGATGGGGGACTGCTGGTATGGTGCTGGGCTCCCAGCCTGCTGCGGGTACTGGACAGGGGCCTGCTGGTATGGTGCTGGGCTGCCAGCCTGCTGCGGGTATTGGACAGGGGCCTGCTGGTATGGGGCTGGGCTGCTAGTCTGCTGGGGGTAGGCCGTTGGCTGCTGGAACTGCTGCGGGGGGTATCCCGTTGGCTGCTCCTGGAACTGCTGCTGCTGCGGGGGGTATTCTGCGCCGGGGGCGGCGTATGGAGGGGTGTACTGCGGCTGTTGGGCGTACTGTTCGACCGGCTGGTAAGAAGTGGGTGTTGGGCCACCGACGGCGCCCAACTTGTGCTCTTCGGTTGCGGCGGGGGCGGCGGCGCTCGTATCGCGGTTCTGGCGGATGGCTGCGAGGGCTGGAGGGTGTTAGATGGGTTCCTTGTTATATTGGGGTTGTGGGGGGTGGGGACATACTGGTGTAGACAAGGGTAGCGACAAAGGAGACCCAGATGAATGCCGTAAGCGCGGCAGAGGCCTTAGTTGTGTCTGAGACGCTCGTCGAACTGTCGGATAACCCGCCGCTGCTATATCTATAGTAGTAGCCGCCGCCGGTATAGTTGTACGACTCGGCAGTTCCAAAGACCGCGGCGAGCGCCGCAAGGGTACCGAAGGTGGCGAGCCAGAAGATTGCTAGGAAGGCCTGGAAACCGAGAGAAATGTAGATGTTGTAGAGGGTCGGGACGAAGAAAGTGAAGGCTACGACGTAGCCGATGTAGGCGAATGTCGCGATAGAGGTGAAGATGTTGAGGCCGAAGCTGCTGTAGGAGCCGGCGACGGAGAGACCATAGGCTGAGAGGCCGAGAGTGACGATGGCAAAGAACAGCTGGAAGCCAAGGACAATTTTGAGCCACAATGGGTGGGGGGGTTCGGTCGCCATTTCATCAGGGGGTCTTTGGTTGGGATGGGGGCTTGGAAGTGAGAATGAATAAGTTAAGGGAGGACCAAGGCGAAAGAGAGAACGAAGAGAAGGCGGGCGGGATGCGACCTAGCTTATGTATGGATTGGACCGAGGAGCAGAGGTGGGCGATGCTAGTGGCTAGTCATGGGTGGATGTGTGTGGATGCTTTTGAGAAATGATAACGACTTCTTTGGGGAAAGATGAAGGGAAAGGGGGTGGTGGAGCTCCCTCAATATACCACTCTCTTCGTTACAGATCGCTTGCTCTCACCTCATTTGGACAAGGCTGGCTAAGTACCGAGTCCCTCTTCCTCTATGAACAGCAACGCAACAATGTCGCCAAATGTCGACGCGAGCCAGCCTCGGATGCCGCGCTTGGCTGCATTCTTGGCTGTTCGCGGGCGAACCAGTGGTATACTCCATCCAGAAACTGCAACAACCGCCGCTCGATTTCCTGGATGAGTGCGGCTGAGGTCAAGGGGAGATTTGATGGGTGGGTTCGGGTGGTACCCTAGCCACAACTCGCGGCCCGTGGGGACACGGGCGAATTAGAGTTTGTTGTAATAGTCACATGCTCTCACGTGATCTCCGTACGGATTATCGGTAAAGCCATACTTACAGTGTGATTTCTGCCGCATGAACCATGTCTACACCATTAAAGACAAGAGGCAAGGCACAGTCCTACAAACAATTAAGGACTTTGTAAGCTACATACGGAGACGATGGGGTTATAAGGTAAAGATCTTCTTCCTTGATGGTGAGAGATCACTTGGAGATGAATGGGATGCATGGATTGCAGATGAAGGATACAAAGTGCAGCTTACACCCCCGTACACTGCCGAACCAAATGGTGGAATCGAACGTTCAGGCCGTATGATAATCACACGCTCACGAGCTTTAAAGGAAGCAGGCAACCTACCACAAGGAATTTGGCCTGAAATATTTCAGACTGCAGGTTACCTTATAAACCGGTCTCCATCATCTGTCATTAATGATGAGACTCTGTACGGACTTCTACTCCAGTCCCTACCCTCGCAGCTTCAAAAGCCAGAGCTTACTAAGCCCTTACTCTCTCATATCCGCGCCTATGGATGTAGAGCCTACACACTCCTCCTTAAGCAACCAAAGCTAAAGAGGATAGATAGGAATGCCCAAATAGGCTATCTTATTGGCTACAACTCTACAAACATCTTTAGAATATGGGTTCCAAATCTTAAGAGGGTTATAGTAACCAAGGACGTTACTTTTGACGAGACAAAGGTGTATGATCCATCGTACGAAGCTACAGTTGTAGAATTGGAGCTCCAAAAGACAGTATTGAACTTCCTGACCTTTTAGAAAAGGAAGGAGAGAAATATAAAGAGGAGCGCGCAGCTCTACAACCTCTACAAGAAACATCAACTACGTACAAGGCAGAAACAACAGATACAGCTCTTCAACAAGAGGAAGCAGTAGAGGTAGAACCTCAAAAGGAGATAGAGGTCCAACATGAAGAGCCTCAACTCCAGACACCTGAAATGACACCAGAGTGTTCAGAAGACAGTGTACGGAGACATGACGTCTACCTTGCAACCATTGCACACCCAGAAGCAAGGATAAGCCAGCACCAAGCTTTCATCGTTGGTACAGAGTTCCAGAAACGTAAGATACATCGTACGGAGCTCCCTGCTGCTCCGAAGTATTGGAACCAGCTTCAAACCACCCTCATAGGCTTGGTTTCAAAGCTGCAGCAGAAAAGGAAATAATAGACCTTCGGAAGCAAGACACCTTCAAATCGATGCCAGACAGCACTGTACGGAGTTTTGTCATTCCACTAATGTGGGTATTTACCTACAAATTTGACGATAATGGCTACCTTGTCAAATACAAGGCTAGACTTGTTGTAAGAGGGGACCTACAAAGCTATTCAATACATGATGAGACGTACGCAGCAACACTTGCTTCAAAGACCTTTTGAGCTTTAATGGCTATTACAGCCTACTTCGATTTGGATACTGAACAATTAGATGCAGTCACGCCTTTAGAAATGGCCGAATTGATGAGGAGCTCTACGTACGGTGTGCTGACAGTTTTGAGGAGCAAGGACAATGCTGGAAACTCAACAGGGCCTTATATGGACTCCGACGGTCACCACTCCTATGGTTCCGCGACTTTTCAGATACACTGAAGAAGCTAGGCCTCGTACAGGTCCCAGAAGCCCAGTGCCTATTCATCTCATCTACAATCATTGTGTTCTTCTATGTAGATGATATCTGCATTCTAAGCCACCCCTACCATAAGTGTAATGGTGGGTGCACCAGATATGAGAATCTAGCCACCCAAGGAAGGGATGAATTTACTAAGACAACACACTGTCTTAGGAAACAGAGCCAAAGGGTTGTAGCTTAGACTATTCCACAACGCAGCAATCAGGTGTATGATGTGGTGAAGTGGTTTAGACAAGTTGCAACAAATGTTGAGTCTGAGAACTCAGGGGTAAGTCAGAGGTTAGCACCTCACTGACTTTTCAAAAACAGAGAATAACAAGATCAATGCTTGGAAGCTTGGAAAAGACGTGGAAGTATGTGCTAGTCGATTTACTGTATTGCCTGCTTGCCCTTTCTTAAGGAAAGGGCAATCCTATTTATGCCAAAGGAGTGTAGTTCTCTCATTTTCCATGACTTTCCATGACTAACCAGGCTTGGTAAATGTATTAGAAATCAAGTGCGACCCACAACTAGCTTGCTAATCATGTAGTGAACGTAAGAGAATCCCATAGAACCATCTCTTGGGTTCCTAGCCTATAGGAAGTGAAAAGGAGGTCCAAGGTCAGAGTACCTATAGACAAATTATGTCATAACTTAACCAATCTTGTGGGTAACTAAGGAGCGATGACGTGTAATGAATCATAGAGGGTTGTAGAAGCTTCTAGAGCTATCGTTCATGTTCCTAGGCCTCTAGTTGGTAGAGATATGCCATGTGGTAGTATTGACCCACCCCCTTAAGGAGGAGATTTTCTTAATAACTTGTTCAATGAGTGTCCAAATGATATGCCGTGATGTATGTAGCATAAACAGATGTAGTAGAAGAGTTTGCAGCAATCGTTGAGTAGTATTGCTTCTGTTGTTGGTGTGATAAGCCAAGATATGTATGGTGACTTGTAGGTTTGAGGAGGAGATTTCTAAGTTTGCTCTTGAGTTTGATAGCAAACTGAGTGCAACGAATGTCAGTATGACAATAAGGCAGAAGCAACAGAGTTCCGTATGAAACTCATGGAAGCCTATGAATTCTGCGAAATAGGAGAACTTGAATGGTTCTTAGGAATAAGAATTATAAGAGACCGGACAGAGAGAACACTCTGGCTATACCAGAACTCATACATCGACAAAATAACGACTACGTACGGAGTAACGCCATTGTCGAAAACAGTTAAGGTTCCAATGGTTAATGACAATCTCACTCCATACGATGGTGTAATGGTGGGTGCACCAGATGTGAGAATCTAGCCACCCAAGGAAGGGATGATTTTACTAAGACAACACACTGTCTTAGGAAACAGAGCCAAAGGGTCGTAGCTTAGACTATTCCACAATGCAGCAATCAGGTGTATGATGTAGTGGAGTGGTTTAGACAAGTTGTAACAAATGTTGAGTCTGAGAACTGAGGGATAAGTCAGAGGTTAGCACCTCACTGACTTTTCAGAAACAAGGAGTAACAAGATCAATGCTTGGAAGCTTGGAAAAGACGTGGAAGTATGTGATAGTCGATTTACTGTATTGTCTGCTTGCCCTTTCTTAAGGAAAGGGCAATCCTATTTATGCTAAAGGAGTGTAGTTCTCTCATTTTCCATGACTTTCCATGACTAACCAGGCTTGGTAACTGTAGTCGACGTAAGAGAATCCCATAGAACCATCTCCTAGGTTCCTAGCCTATAGGAAGTGAAAGGAGGTCCAAGGTCAGAGTACCCCTATAGACAAATTATGTCATAACTTAACCAATCTTGTGGGTAACTAAGGAAAGATGACGTGTAATGAATCATAGAAGATTGTAGAAGCTTTTGGAGCTATTGTTCATGTTCCTAGGCCTCTAGTTGATAGAGATATGTCATGTGTAGTATTAGCCCAGTAACTAAGGAGTGATGTCATGTAATGAATCATAGAGGGTTGTAGAGATATGCTATGTGGTCATATTGGCGCAGTAACTCAGGAGCAATGACGTGTAATGAATCATAGAGGGTTATAGCAATCGTTGAGTAGTATTGCTCTTGTTGTTGGTGTGACAAGCCAAAATATGTATAGTGACTTGTAGGTTTGAGGAGGAGATTTCTAAGTTTGCTCTTGAGTTTGATAGCAAACTGAGTGCAACGAATGTCAGTATGACAGATGGGCAAGCAGACAAACAGCAAATCCACCTATATCAACAGAAAGTAGGATCTACCAACTACGCTGCAGTGGTTACAAGACAGATATATCCCGTATGGTGCAGAAACTATCCGAATACCTTGTTAACCCAGGACCAGACCACATGGCAGCAGTCTATCGACTTATACTCTATCTAAAGGAGACAAAACATCTAACCCTCCAGTACGGACCAAAGATCAATACACCACGCTTCCAATGCTCTAGTGATGCTTCGTGCACAGATTGTGAAGCTACAAGAAAGAGTACAGAAGGGTATCTCTTCACACTCTTTGGAGGAGCAATTGACTGGCGCTGTACAAAGCAGAAAACCATATCAACCTCAACTACAGAAGCTGAGCTTCTAGCTCTATCACAGAGTGCAAAACAGCTCTATTGGTGGCAGCGATTTTTCTCAACTATCAAACTTGATCTTAATGAGAAGTCCACCCTACAATGTGACAATATGCAGACCATACGGCTCTTACTCAAAGAGTCCCTGAAGCTAGTTACAAAACTCAAGCATATTGATATTCACTCCCACTGGCTAAGACAGGAGGGAGAGAGACGCAATCTCAATATCAAGTGGATAGCTACGTACGAGATGCCAGCAGACAGGTTTACAAAAGCCCGACCATGCCAAAGACACGAGGAGTTTATTAACCATTTAAACCTTGTGGACATAAAGCACCTCCTATAGGAGTGCTTACTTAAGAGCACAACTCCGTACGAAGCAGTGGCTACCTTTGTACCTCGGAAACGAGCCCCCTAGATCACAAGATCTAGATTTCTACTTCACCAACTAAAATGCGAGGCAATACAAGAACAGGAGACTGATGAGCTCCGTACGAACATAGAACTCTCAGAATTACCAAGCCGCCTACAGTTACACCCAGTTTCACTATGCGCTCTTATTTCAACTTTCCCAATGGAATACCTTGGGACCTAACAAACATACACTCTTTTTCGACAGTTTCATAGATCCGTATGAGCTAGATACAACACTATGCACGCGGATTTCATATTTTTTCGAAATAAAAAACCCACTTCAACAAAAGGGGGGAAATCAAGGGTAACAAGGGAA